TAGACACACACACACATATATATATATATATATATATATATATATATATATACATTTATATATATTTATATATGTATATATGTATATATATATAAATATATATATATTTATATATTTTTATGCATATCTGCGCTTTTTGGTTTCCCGTTGTAGTCGTTTTGTGTTAACTCTGTTCCCTGTCTAAACGTTAAAAATGGAAATGTAGAATCATTGTATATACGTTGTTATCACACTTACTAAGTATTGGTAGTATACATGAGTAGGCGCACTTATGTATGCAATTTGACATATGCCCTTATAAATCTTTCCAATGCTCTCATAAGTTGTTGAATTTTGCTTATACGGTTGACTTCTTGTACATCATTTCGTAACTATCTTGTTTTTAGAGCTTCTATCCATATGACGGCTTATACGGTTGACTTCCTGTACATCATTTCGTAACTATCTTGTTTTAGAGCTTCTATCCAAAAGACGCGATTCATGAGTCAGCTATTATAGTGGTTTATTTGCGCGATCTCTTCCTTAGTGTAATATGACATTCACATGTTATCTTTGATGTACTACGGATTTCCAAAATAAAAAACGGGTCAGGTATTTCTAGCTTATAAAACTTTTCAGATTTAAAATATTTTTTTTAAATATTCGCGTCTGTTATCGTTTCAAAGCTTAACAATGGCCTCAAAACAACACGTGGCATCTTAGAAACACCTCTTTCTGTATCGACACGCTTCTACAGTTCAGGAATTTCTCTGTTTAGTAAGCTTTGCATCTGTGTTCTATGTAATTGGCAATCCAGTATGCGCTCATTACGTCATTAAATCTTCTGCCCTCTTTAGGAGATCCATATCAAGGTCCTGATTGACCAACAGAATGTGGGTGGAAGTTATTCATCCTCGATGATGTCTATCCCTATTCCGGAAACGGATGAGAAGGTCGAAGACACTGACGAAATCTATGGCAAAGCACCCAAAATCTCTTCACATTACATCCGAATTATGGGTATGTTCAATGAAATCCAGCACATTCGATTTCTGCCCAGCTACACCGTTTTGTTTTCACACACAAAGTTCCTAGGTATGAGGTCTTCGTTTTGAATTCGACTCCTGTGTAATCATATATCAAAGTTAGGCTGGTTCTTGGGTACTAGTTTGTCCGCCTTAGTGACGTATGAGCTGTTCAACATTTGTGGGCTGCTCTTTAACTATTTGTGCTGTTAAATACAAACTTTAAAACAGATCGCTACCTTATTACTGACCGAGTGCTATATGATGCGGACTCGGATGATGAGAGATGGGTCGAGAACTTTAACACAACGCATCAGTCATCCAGTCGGAGTGTGTCGATCGATGAGTTCGAGCGGCTGTTCGACTTATTAGAGAAGTCATCTCCGTACGAAGAGTTGATTGAATATGGAGAAGCCAAGAATCTTCTAAACTGCGAGGACTTGATCGTCAAAGCCGTATATCAGCTCTGGAAGGGTACGAACATTTATATTTGGTAGTTTGACCTATTTGATGAGCAAATTGAGCGCCGAGTGTTTTCGAAATTTTTCTACCACAGTCAGTGTATCTACTTATATCGATATTTCATCCTCAGATTCTGAATTGTGAGCAAGCTGGTAGAATTTCGTGTATGTATATAAGTGATCATGTTTGATGTTTTTAAATAATACTCTCCGATGTACTGGAGCGATGCTTATGTTAATATAGTCACACATATAAAGGTCTTAATTCTGGTATCCCTACTGATTTTGAAATCATCTGTCCATGCAGATAAGCGAAGGGCGCGGATGTCGAAGCCGCTGCGACCGACGATCAAATTCGATCCACATAACGACCCAGATTTAGCACACGACCCTTATGTAGCGTTCAGGAGGAGGTCAGAACGGCATCGCATCAAAACTAGAAAGGTATCCGATGGCGATACAGATTTGGCTTGTTGTGCGTTTGCGTCTAAAATTGGCCTGTAGATAGTCCGGGCTGGCTGATAACAAATTTGTATTTTGCAAAACGGTGATATGATCGTGAAATTGTGCGGATGCAAAGGATGTCTATCGCAGTATACTTATCGTTTCCGCTATGATTGTGCGTACTCAAGGAAGGGCAGCCGCAATTCTTAGTCAACGATGTAAAGTTATGGCTTTGTAGTCCACTCGTCGTACTTACCACTTAGAATTGTCATTGTACCTGCAGCACCAGAAGCAAGACGAGAGCAACTACGACAAGATGCTTAAGCTTCGTCGAGATTTGGACAAGGCGCTCGTATTACTAGATCTTGTCAAGAAGAGAGAACGGTTAAAGGCCGAGTCGGTATGTTTTATAATCACTCGATGCAACAACGTGCGCTGATATGATTTTCTGTTTTATGGCTATTTCGCAGTGTATAGTAAATCCAGATCTTCCAGTGGGTTAGCAGGCATCCGCAATAATCTGAATGACATATTGACAGCCTCAGATGCTATTGACCATCACTGATATAGTGTTGCTGGGCTGAAGTACCGAATTTTGAGCTCTGGGGCGCAACTTCAGGCTCAAATATGATTATTCTACCGTGTTAGTGTTTAGCATCCCACGTGCTGATATCTTTCAACTGGAGTGAAATTAGGTGCATTGTATAGACTCCGTTCGAATCTAGATATTGCCACGGCACTGAGTGGCCCCGCATAATCCGAAATTATCGCTTTGAGCGCTGTTGACCTATTCCAAACATCCGGTCTATAGGTGCGGCACGCGAAGGAATGTTTGCAGAAGCGATACGAACTGAACGATTGGTCTGATCGTTTGTTTCTACCGGAGACAGGGGGACCGGATATTGCTGATCTATCACCTTCACCTACGGTATGCCTCGCTTGACATCACAAATCATCAGGTCGCTCTTACTATCGAGTTCGCAGGTCAATTGGATGCCAGTATCGTATTTTTTGTATTTGTTCTAGTCTCAATATGTCTTTGAACGTTGTCAAAGACATATCTCTGGATGATGAGGGGGAAAATCGCACAAACAAAGAAAATATCGCTGTTATCCCAAAGCCGATTTTGTATATTCAATGTACTTATTATGATACTGTTGTATAATTTGTTTCGTCAGACAATCAAGAAAATCCGCACTGGGCATAAGAAAGACCGGGAATCGAGTAAGAGGAAACACAAAGAAGGACCGCGCTGTAAGTAGTCACTAGTGCCAAAAGTCTCGTTCAGCTTTCTCGTTTTGGCGATAGTTTTACCACCTTGCCCTACACGGAGGCGTATGCAGCCTCGCCAGCATCTTTTGTTTCACAATTACCTATTATGTGTTGTGGTATAATATTTTCGTCAGTATTTGCGCTACTTGAGAAATGTGGCGCTTGCGAAGTTGGTGCTATACCATAGCTAAAATATTTGATTTTGTCGCACACGTACAGTACCCGTAGCAGAAAGCGATATCGAGGAAGTCAAGCCTTCCTTGCTTAAAATTAAACTACACAAACCCTCCGAGAATCCATATGTTGTAAGGAAGATCAAAGGTATCTCATTCTCCGTTGGTCGCGGCCTGGGTTGTCCAACAGCAATCAAATCGCCAGCTGTGGCCTTTGGCTACACGCCCCTGAAGGTATGTACGGTGCTTGTATATTGGCAAGTGGTTTGTCTACGCATCTATACTATGTGCTCACTGTGGCGTATAGACATATGGGTGTACGCATTGGACCAGCATATGCTGCGTGCGTCTTCTATCGACAGCTGTAACATGTACATCGGTATTCTGATGATTTGCCTTATTTTATGAATACTCCTGCCAGTATCTTGGTAATGGACATTTTACCTCAAGCATATTGGCACCTTCGAAATTGTCTATTAAAGCCAATACGCTGCGGATTGCCCATTCGCGGTAGTTGGCAAGGATGAGAATAGGAATCATCTTGGACATATTTTTAATTGCATTAGAACACGCTGAATGGCATGATCGCCGTTTTGTCTTTTATCTCGTCCCTGTGATCTCATCTGGCTGTCATCCTAATCCGCAATCGGCTCACAGGGCATGCCAAACGTGAGGTGCGCAAGGCGTCGAATTGGGCGGGGCGGTCGTGTGTTGTTCGACAGGACACCCACATGGGCAGCCGAACAATTCTCCGCAGACCCGAAATACATCGATCCGTTCGTGGTACGTAAATAATAGAGTGCCGCACTAGACATCGTAATCTCGATTGGGGGTTTATCTCGCTTAGCTGTTTTAATGTGAGAATCTGTTATTTGGCATACGCTTACTCGCTCGATGCATGTTTGTTATCCCTTACCGTGAATAATATCTGCTCACCGCTTCAGACTCGTTTGTATCAGTCGTTGCTAATAGCTTTTAGCTCCGTGACTTTCACGTCTCGACCAATTAAACAGCGCCATGGGCCGTTCGAGAATCTAGTCCGCAGACAAACATCGTCAGTGGCAACGCCTCAGATGACGAACTCGATACTAAAAATGTCAGCGGTCGTGGATCACCGAATACCCGGTCCAGTCCGGCCAGCAGGTCCCATTGGGACCACACAGGTGCAATCACAAAATATAAATAGTAATAGTAATAGTATTAGTTATAGTACCAAGCAATCACACCCGCTCACAGCTCAACAACAGCAGGCATACCCACATACATCAGCACAGAGGGTAGAACATTCGGGTGCTAATTCGGCCCAAAATCAAGCGTTGGGTGGAGCAACCCACTCCCTGACAACTTCATCGGCCCCTTCGGACCAGCAACCCGTGCAGACACAAAGGTTAGCCACAACACAAAACACTGCAGACCAACTGAACAGTTCGTATACTCTGCCAACGGGTCAGCGGCCCACAACAGCCCTACTGGCGAATTCTGGTGTGGGTGGGAGTTCGTCAACGAATACAAACACAACCACGAATACGAACCTAAGTTCTAACACGAACCCTATCTCAAACCCAATCACAACTGCGAAACTGATGGCGAGTACAAAATCATGTACGATAACGAATGCTACAAGTGCTGCGGCTTCGTCTGTCCCACAGAGTGCATCCTCTGTCAGCCAGGTACAGCCTGGGCATATCGGTACTCAACTAGGCGGTGTGAGTAGCCTCGCTAGCACGACTCCGGCGGTGGGCGCGTATAGTTCTACATCCACATCTGCTGGTCAGAGTGCAAGTAGAATACCGAGCTCTAATGTGTACTCACAACCGTACGCAACAACATTGGTCAATAGACCGATCCCCCAGGATCAGGAAAATACTACTGCGGATGGGTACGATAGCGCACCTACGATGAGTGCTGTAGACGGTACTGTTCGAGGTCAGAGTTTGACACAGGCACAAGCAACATCAACCGCAGATGCAAATTTGAACCCCAACCAGGCAACGTTCAATCACGGGGGAAGTGCGACTAAGATGAGTTCGGATACGCCAATGACCACAACTGCAGCTTCGCAACCAGTCGATAGCCAATCGTATGCGGCACTCTCTGCTCAGCGAGCGCAGCCCCAACAACAACAGCAGCAGCAGCAGCTCCATGGAAACCATGTGAACAACCTGAATGCAACCTCCAACGCAGCAACCTCAGTTCCTTACAACTCGATCTCGCAAATTCCATCCATGAACAACAGCACATACACGTCGCGGCAATCATCGTTCGGAGAAACGTGTAGTGACGGATCACAACCACAGAGGACGGCCAGCAGAAGTGCCGTCGCCGCGGTTGCTTCTAGTGTACCTAGCATGTCTCAGTCTGCGATGTAGAGTGTGACACCACCTGCCCACACAGATGCGAGCCCTGCAACCTCGGGCTACCCTGTCACGACTCAAACTGCATACTCGACTGTTCAAGCTTCCACCACAAATCCTAATCTCCCAACGCAAGCCACCGCACCCGCCACGGGCGTTAATGCGAACGGTGCGGAAACTAGTGCGATGGATCTACCAGGCGGTACTCCTACTGCAGTTGGTGTGAGTTCTGTGTCGGTCAGTGGGGAAGGGGTGGATACATCGGGCGCAGCGACAACTCAAATACAGCCAGATAAGGACAAGCCTAAGACCGACTCACGAATGGACAGCACACCGGGAAGTGAATACACCAACGGCCAATTGCCGGCTTCGGAAACCGCGGGAAAAAGTTCACAACAGCGTTTCCTCATTCAGAGCACGGATTAGATTGTTTGATAAGAATATTTGGTGCTCTCACTTTGGGCCACCCATCGGACAGTGCAATTCTGATGCTGCCTACTCTAGAGCGAGAATCAGGGTATCCGATAGGAAAGAAATCAGTGGTCTCTCATATCGTAGGCTGCCGACGAACAAAGAACACTCAAAGCTGCCCGTTCAATTGGCGGCCTACTACAAAATTACGGAAATTAGTCGCGTGTTGAGTCCGGCGCCTGTAGGAAGTTTGATGCACTGCACAATTGAAGATGGAAGGTGCCCTTGGCTTGCTTGGCAACGGCACGAGCTCGACTTGCGGTAATGAATACCAGACCTACTTGTGTAGCTGTTCATGTCAACCAGTGGGGTCTGGGGATGCTACTCCGTGCCTGTGTTCGCGCATGCTCTGTATACCGTTTGAGTTGGAGATATACCGTCCTGCGTTGGTGGATATTCTCGATTGACATGACCGTACGTCAGCAAATTTCGAGCGACAGTAAATACTGCGCTATTCATAGATAGTATATAGCCAAGCACAGTATATTATTAAACTGGCCAGACTCAGTCTGCGAATACGATTGTGATCATTTCAAGATATTATCATAATATCGTTGCGGTGATCAGGTGAAAAGGCAGAGAGGGGGGTTTGCAGGTCCACGCGCTCATGTATTTTATTATCTGTTATTCATTCTCGACATCATATCGGATCGACAGCTGTGCTTGTTTAGATCGTCTCAGATTTCTAGTCCTAATCTGGGGTGTTGTTGTCGGGTCCGATCACATGATTTTCTCTGTTAAATCAGGCTTTAGATTAGAACAGGAAATTTTGCCAAGGCAACTACTACTTTCACATGGAATACGATTCGGCATGGGTGATGTCTATACATACTGCTGAGAACCGGAGCAGTGCTCGTGGTGTCTTCTCGACCTGCACATACTTTCAATGGGCTCACATGCCATTGTGATCATAGCAATAGCTAGGACATGACTCGTTGCGATCAGGTATACTGAAAGCGGGACACGTGTTGAAGCGAGACTTTACACACCGAGCAAGAGGTTCAAACAACACACCCGCTCTGTCGATTTGTCGTTCCAGGGCCTGCACAATACTGGTGTGCATATCCAATTGAAGTAATAGCTCTCCAATTGCGTTCTCTACTGCCCTCATTTCGGCTTTCTTTGCTTCAGTGCTTTGGGTCGGACCTTCCTATATATTCACGCGTTTGAAGTTTTACGGAACATCTCTTAAAATATATTCGAATTTCTGCCATACGCGTACTATTTTTGTATTTAAATTCCCGTCGTGACAATGAACTAAACATATTTCACAGATGTTCGTATCAAGCGCAAAAGCAACGAACTCCCAATTAGTTCTGTTCGGTCTAACACAGTTGGTTTGTATAAAAATCCTGGATGCTCGTATATATGAAAGTCACAATTCCCTGCGACCTACGCGGGAATATCTAATAGCGCACAAATACTACGATAGGTGAGTTTGGTACGATGTTGAGTTTGATAGAATTTGATTGATTAAACCCTCAATTTTGGTTCGTGTGGACTACACCTGTGTTTTGCCCTGCAGAACGATCATCTCCCTTCGGCATTTCACGACTCGGATTAATAACCATTGCATTGTTCTAACATAGGTTACAACCACTTGCACAACGGGTTGGGATATAGAATGTCTACATTGTACCGCTAATACGTTTGGTTTGTTTTGGCTCGGATGAATAACCGTTGCATTGTTCTAATATAAGTCACAACGACTCGCACAACGGGTTGGGATACAGAATGCCAGCATTGCACCGCTCATACCTTTGGTTTGTGTTGTAGGGTCGCGTTTATTCCCATCCTGAATTTGTCGCTGAGAGACTTCTTGCGTGTCAATGTGCTGCACATTAGGTGAAACACCATTACAAAAAAACCCGGTGAGTAGTATAAGTATATTCATAATTCAATCTGGGTCATCAATCGTCGCAACTAAATTCGTATATACTTTTAACTGATCACGATTTCCCATTATGATGCGCTGTTTGGTGCTTGACGTCGCGACAATATTATACATACCCAGCAACCTGACCGCTGCCGGTTGATGAACGATTCTGTTGCTTTTTGTCAGCATCGTCATTGCTTTCGCCTGCTGTAGCGTCTTCTGACTGGCCAGTATTTGCAGATTTACTTTCTGGCGAGAAGTCGAATTTTTTCTTTTGGGTAGTCCAAGGTGATATTGTTTCGCTACTTGCTGAACTGTAGATTACGGGTGAATGAAAAATCGATGCGTAGGTGCATAAAAGTGCTCAATGAAGATATATCTATGAAGGTCCACTCTGCACGTGCCACTGTCAAAAGCATTGGCAGGCAAACTTCTACCCCAAGGATTCCCTTACTCAGAAAATACAAGCATTTTCATCTGAATACAGGAAGCTAGCAAAGATGTTGCTGCGGAATAACTCGCCGGCAAATGATCGATATGAATCCAAAATAAAATACAATACGAGACGAGGGAACGCATGTGAGGGAACAAGCCGCTTCTTGATACTCACTTCATGGCCGCGGCCATCGTAGCGATTTCAGACGACTTGCTGCTGACACTTGCACTCCTCGCCTTCACGTTCATAGTTTGTCGCCTGCACATGTTATTAGTGAAAAGTATTTCATTCTGATTCAGCTGCAACCTACGATATACAACATAATATCGTGCGCAGTACGGTGTGTGCTTAAACACATATATTCCTCCGCCAGATATTTATGTTCGTCCTCGATATACTGTAAACTGAGTTGGCGTTATTGGAGAAAGAAGCCGCTTGAATGACTGTTCGCATACCTTAAACTTACGGCCCGTCCAATCTTTGACAGAGTGCCTCCCTTAGTAGCAGACTCTGAACATTTGTCTGTGCCACGCATTTTTCTACTTTCCGTCGAAGTCATTGATGCCGAATCTTGGCTGAGACTATCTAAACTTGTTGCTGTACTTCTGGGCTTCGTTGTTAAACCTACTGCATGCCTGCATTGATTGTTCAACCATTGTCAGCGCTCATGTGTGCCGAAATTTTGAGCTAGACCGACACAACGTAAACCAGTACAAAGTGCAAACTGACGCATACTGAGTAGACGGCGATCTTGAGATAGTACTTTCATTCACTCACTACTTGGTGAAGTAAGAGATATAACCCTTTAATACACTAGTAAGATGGTAATTGACAACTATCGGGTGATAGTGCAATGCGGCCGTAATACTAAGACAGATATAATTTCGAAACTATACAAATACAGTGAAACAAATATACTTGCAAGCTTGAAACATAAGTTTATGCACGTTGTTTTAATCAATTACACATCTTTACAACTCTGAAAGTGCAGACATCTGTGTTGTGGCACATTTGAATGCTGGCAAGTGTATTTCAAATTTTGGTAGATGCAATAGATTATATCTATTGTATATATTGCTTATATTTGCATAATATGTTCGATATAGCCTATACGTACTGGTTATACAGATACAGAACGATATACATTTATATCTACAACAAAAGCTTCTTATATAAAACCGTATACAAT